CTTAAAAGCAGAATCCGAAATTTTCATATTATTAAAAGACTTTTTTTCTAGTTATGGTTTAAATTTTGTTGTTTTAAGGAGACTTAGATAAACAATAACTTGCGAATAAAATTCTTAGAAAAAACATGAAAATTTGTAGTGTTGCCTTTTACAAAGATATAAAGAACTTGTAAAGATAAAAACTGTAGCGAAAACCGGGTTTTTTGGTGTCGATTTAAAAGTTTTATGTTTCTACTTTAGGATTAGTTTGTTTATTTTAAAAGTAAAAATCAGTGTAGAAAATTACTTAAATTATCATCGAATTAAGATTAAAGTTCTTTAAAAGTAAAATTTAAGATATGAGTATTATGAACTCATACTTAGGCTGTGCTACAGGCAGTTTTTTATATTTTTTTGGTCTAAATTTTGTTATTTTGAACGAAAAAAATAAATAAAAAATTAGAATTTTTAGTTTTGCAGTTTATATCCAGGGTAGAAGGAAAACTGTGCTTTAGATTTGAGTTTTCAAAAATTTTCTTTCTACGGAGTTATTTCTTCAGAAATAAAAGAAAATGAGGTGTTGACAAAAGAAAAAAAATTTTTTGTATTGATTGAGAAGATTTCAGAGTGGAAATTAATGAAGAAAGTTAAGTAAACCAAGATTAAATTTTTTTCTACTTTTAGTTTAAATTTTCTTGTTTTTAAAGAAATAATAGATAAAAACACAAATAAAATTACAATCTTACAAAAACAACTTGAATGTTTAGTTTTGCATTTTATAAGGGTTCTAGAAAAACTGTCTTAGAATTAAATTTTAGAAGAATTTTTTCTATAGACCAATAAATTCAATTAAACTGTTTCAGCCAACAGTTATTTTTTTCTGAAATAAAAAAAAAATTCTATAGGTGTAGACAGAAAAAGAAATCAGTTTTTTTAGTGTTGAGTTAAAAGATTCCTGGTTAGATTTCTTTGTTTTTAGAGCGGAAATTATAATAGAAAAAAATAACTACTCGTAAACCAAAAACTAAAGAAGATTAAAAATTCTAAATTGTTGATTATATCGATTTTTAAAAATTCTAAAACTAGAAAAAAATTGCCGTGTCATGTTTTCTTTTTATTTCTTTAATAAGATTTAATAGTAACGATTTTATTTTCATTACAAAAATAAATAAAACATTACCTATTTTGCCTACTGAATCGCGGAAATGGCACTTTTTAAATTATTTTATTTTTTTACTTTATTTCACAAGGCGATTTCGCTGTGATAAAAAGTTGAGTTTATTAAAAAAATGCGTTATCATCCGGAAACCAAATTTTGTTTAAAATTGCAGATAAATTATCAATCAATTAGAAGAAAAAAGTGCAATTAAGCATTTCAAAAAATCTAAAACGGCGATAACCCAACTTGCTAACATCAGAAATTAATACTTTTTTCGTTTTTATCTCTTTTATGAAGGGTTGTAGTTTCACGCTGAAACCAGGCATGCTTTCAGTCACGTAGAAAGGTGCACAATTTGGGGCGCCAAAGCGCGATAAAATTCGGCGATGGACACATTTAAATCACTTGAACTGGTCAGTTTTGCGACAATTGTGTGTCGATAAGCATCAATCAAGTAAATTCGAAACAACAGTTTGTTTATATTGATTAAGAGCAAGGTCGGGTGTCACCAGATACCCATTATTGGCCCCAACGGCGCTTTTCTCCCATTTTCCCACCCAACAAGCCTCACCAACTTCCTGGAATTGCGCAAAGACAAAGACAAAAAAATGCAATTCCGGGTTGGTTTCTGGGAAAAGGTAAATTTTGAAAGACTCCGGTGACTCCGGATGAAGCCGTGCGCGCGCACTTCTTCACTAAGACGCTTATATAAGGCGTTCGCCAAGATTCTTTAGATTCACAAGTAGCCAGCACGTGGTCAAGTGTTTAAGAGAAAAATGGCCCTCAAATACGTCATCATCGCCGTGGTTGCGTTCCTCTGCGTCGAAACCCTCAGCGCTCTCAGTCTCGCGAAGGTAATTTTTTAGTTTCTCCGAAATTGGGGCCTTTCCCCGTTTCCCGCCATCGTAGTAATAGTGACCTTGCGTCCAAGGTGGGCCTCCATTCATGTTTCTTTTCCTCCAGCGCTCTCTGGCTTCGGACGCGTCGGCCAACTCCTCGGCGGAAGTCCAAACCAAGGAGATCTGCCAGGGGAGGACTCCGTGCGGGTGGGCCGTGTACAACAAAATGACGCGGTTTATCGACTACTTCATGCGGAATAAGTAAGTGCGTTGGACGCGAGGCCCAATTTAAGGCTCTTTGTGCAGGTGCGACTGCAGCAAGGAGAAGAGGTGTCTCAGGGACGACGACGACATCTCCATCACGGCCTATGTGTACCGCTGCAAGATCGACGACGGCCCCAAGACCACCTCATGAGGCCCACCCCAAGCCTAGTCCCAATCTCATTGCCTCTATAGTATCCAGTATTTCACCCGATTTAGTACTTAGCAGCGGTCCAGCGCCGTCTTTACTTAAACCAAAAATTTGCAAGCAGTGCAATTTGCCATTAGTTTAGTCTAGGTTTACCACCTGTGCTGTATTTATTTTTATTTATGTATTTATCGCAGTATTTGAATTATCAAAATTACTCAACTTGTTTTTATACGCGCGGAAAATTTATGCAATAAAACCGACTCAAAGCCAACAGACTCTCATTACCCAATTTCTCACAATTTGAAATTAAGTTGGCAACAGTAACTGTCAAATTCAAACGTCACAACCCTAGTTTTATGTCAGTTTAAAAAATATCAATGTAAGCCACGCTTTATTGTCATCAAGATTGACACTTGAAACTAAAATTTGAAGTTTTTGTTGAAATTTATTTTTGGCGTCGGTTTTCCGATATATACGTGTTTTTTTTATATTTTGATTTGTTGTCATTTTTTTCCTAGCTCTCAGGATGAAAATTTCAAAAACTGTAAGTGAGGTTAGTTGCCTAAGGCCCGTTTTAGATTTTTATGCGCGTCCGCCGGTGTAGGTGTTGCCAACCTAATTTAACGAAAGTCACTGATCAAAAATCCAGGATGAGACAAAAAGACGACTTTTGGTTCAGCTTTATTGAGTATAAGTTCAGCTACTGAGGTTACTATAAAACAACTGTCAAAACATGAGCACATTGAGCTATAAAAATTTGGCATTTCGGAAGTAAAAAATGCTATCACATGTTAAGGCAATTATAAAATTCCCCCAAAAAATTGGAATGAGTAAAAATGTCATAAAAATTTATTCGTTGTCGGTTTTCGGGCGTTGTAGTCTCTCGGGATGCGAGCAGGCAAGTTGGGAAAAATCCCTAACAACGTCATTGAACATACTATCACCTGTTACCCCATTCTCGGACTCCTTCATCTCGTCGTTGAGACGCCCCAACCTCAACCTAAAAACCCTCAATAGAAAAAAAAAACAAACGGGGGAAAACCCTCACAGAGTGACAATATCGGCATGTTCCTTCTGCTCCGCCATCTGCAACGGGACCTTCCCCTCGTCATCCTCCAAATGCTGGTCAGCCCTATGCTTCAACAAGAGACAAACCTGGGCCGTGTGCCCCTCCTGTGTTGCCAAATGCAGCGGCGTTTTACCGTTTTGGTCCTGAGCGTTGATTTTAGCCCCGTTGAGGATCAAGTAAGCGCAGGGCATTACCGACCCCTGAAACGCAAAAAAACCTGTCAAAAAATTTTGACATTTGACATTTTTTTTATGTCCACTTAATGATACTGATAGCCCTGTACAGATTTGTCAACAAGAAATTACCACCTAGGATTTGAACTTTTAGGAAAATTACGTTTTTTTATGTTGTTTGTAACCAGAATTTTCAGAAGTAGTTTTGTATGCCCAAGGTTGGTTACTTGTTGTCGGTTGACGTTTTCTTCAACCTGCTGTCAACTATCAAATAAATTATACATACATGCTGACAGGTGACTTAACCTAAATTTTGACACTAGTTACGATATCTTTTGTTTGTCACCAGAAACCAACCTAACCAAATTTATGGCAACCTATTCACAAATATCTCTAAATTCTAGGGAATAATTTCTTGTTGATAGGACAATATATGTTTTTTTATAATTATTTAGTAAAGGAACAAAAAATTTGCCAATAAAAGCCACCAATAACATTAAACAGAGTAATAAATTAGGATACAGCTTCCTTGTTTCCCCTTCTAATAGCCTGTAGCAAAAAAACTTGAAAAATTATTTTTCCAACAGAAATAAATAGAATCAAAATGCAAGATTTAAACACTCATAACTTAGAAATTTTTATAGATATGTTTTTAACATTTTTCTCTGGGGCGCGAGTTTTGACACACCTGTATATAGATGCTAGTTACTTCCCGCCCACGGGATGTAATGACAAATTTCCCGACCTCCGAAAGGTATAGTGTTTGCGAATAAACAATTTTAGGAAAATTACAGAAACCTACACTTAAAATCGCTTGATGTATGGGACTGCGCCCCCTATCGTCGAGGTTAATCCACTGTTTATCAGCCCCTAGAGCAAGAGCCTCGCACATGACGGGTAAATTATGCGCAGCGGCCGCTTTATATAGCAATAAATTCGGGTGAAGCTTATCTATATCTTCCTCCTCAACTGTATCCTCCCCCTCCCCTGCAGTAGACTCCTGATCACTACTCAAATCAATCGTGCCATCTAGCGGCTGTTTATCCAAATCCCCGAATAATAAAACTCGACTCGTTTCGCTACTTTCACTAGTTTCAGATTTAGGACACTTGAGTCGTTTTTTCGTATTATCGCAACTCCGGGGCCGTCTCCGGATCTTCCGGACGCTCCACTTCCGGATTTCCATTAGACTCGCCCTTGAGGTGCGTTGTTGCGAATCAAAATGTGGCAAATCCTTAACGAATTTCTTATCGACGTATTTCGCCTTGATCCACGATTCCCGGATCGTTCCGGGACAGTCCGGAGTCGCCCGAGTGACGTCCTCCGGGACTTGGGCTTCGTATATTTGGTTCACGATTGTGTTACCCAACTCGACCATCACTTTAATGATTTCCGGTTCCCAGTCGTCGAGTGTCAAAGACCGGACTTTGCTATAGTGAACACCAAGACTCCGGTGAACCCCCGAACATTCTTAAACAAATTGATATTAAAATGGGGGTTTCACGGACGTGGGGGGTACCTATGCAAAGGGTTATACCCAGGTTAATGCTCGCCCAATGAGGGTTAACGCTACCACAATCGCAACAATAGTTGTTACCCGGAATTTTCAAAAGTTGCTCCCACATTCTAAAATATTTTTTTTTAATCGAATTAAAAGTTTTTTTCTTTACCTTATTTTCTTAATTTTATTGTTATTGTAATTCGCGACGGCACTTCCGCTTTGCTCGTCATTAAAATGATTCGATTGATTGTTACTAGATTCAATACTATGTATACGTTGGAATGCCGCTCCTATACCTTTTTGGAGGGCCCCAATCCAAGCTTCATACATTTCTTTAGAGTCGGCTTGAAGCATATGACTCCTAAAAAAAAATTTTTAATTGTGAGTAAAACCAAAAAAAAATCGATTACTTAGAAGGTGACAAAACCTCAAAACAAAACCGCCTCTCCCCATCTAAAACCGGTTTAACGGTACAGAGACGCAAATCGTCCTCCATCACAGTCTCAACCTCTTCCCCAGATCGTTTCCTACAAAAAAACTCATTCCAAGTTGTAGAAAAAACACCGTATCTACCTATAAACTAATTTATTGTCATAGAGATAAAACCAACGCCTGTTCCAAGTCTTGAACGCGTTTGATGTCCGTTTAAATAAATAACCTTCCATTCTCGGTAAATTTTTCCCGATTTTGGGGGTTATTATTTCAATATTGTTGACAGAAGCGTGTCTGTTTTCCAGTTCTTTCTCAACGGTTGTGGTCTCCTCACGCATATCGGCGATCTAAAGTGAGAAAAAATAATTGGGGTTAAATTAAATTATTTGTGGGGGCACCTCATCGGCTAATTCTTTGAAAAACGGTTCCAAGTCGGCACACAGGTCAGACCCTTGGTGGTAATAAGCCGTACATGCGTGCATATACGACAACAACTAATAAAAAAATTAGTAATAAAAAATTACAATAAAAATTATACCGTGCTCAAAATCTCGTGTCGTTTTTTTGTCTGAAGCAAACTGATACTGTTGACGTAATCGAGGGCCTGGTGCCCGAAACAGGACCGTACTGCCAATAAAACATTTTGCATTTCCTCGACTTCCTGGGGTTTGCTCCTAGGAGTTTGCGAATTTCGCACTAGAACATTGTCAAATTCTGAGGAGATTTTCTCAAAGTGTTGTTTATAATCATGAACGGTTTTAATGTCACTAAAAAAACGATTTAGTGCTTTTTATTGCGTGTTTGAGACCAACTTTTTGATAAATGAGGTGAGATTCTTGAGTATGGTTCTTGAGGCTTGGTCCAGGAGGATGGTGTGGAACTTGTTCATTTCCTGCAAGCTCTGAATCAGCTTGTTCAGCGAGGATAAAACAGCGGAATCCTCACGAAAGTGCGCGCTCAATTCCCATAAACTGTTCGCAAACAAACTGGAAATTGTGTAATTAAATCGCATGATTCACCAATTAACTCAAACCTTTGTTGGGCGACATATGTCTTGCCGGAATCGACCATCGTCCCACATACTTTGAGGATTTTCTCCAGTTTTTGCTCCAATTGGTCGATACTCGCCTCTTCCTCCTCGAGAAGGCTTCTACAAGAGATAATTGGTGTTTGCCAGTTTGGGGTCACCACAAACCTGAACTTCGGGGAGTCACGCAGACACTCTTCCGGGTCGATTTTACCCACCATTTTCACAAACACGACCGATTAAGTGGTCATAACACTATTTTGAGTCATCAAACAACCCACTTTCTTTATTGTTATTGTGGACGTCAAACGTCAAAAACACGGGGTGCCAACATGACAGAAATAATCACCCCACATTTCCCTCCTTATCAAGCCTTGATTTTTATAATCACTAACAAACTAGCTTAAATTGATAGTAACAAAGAAAAAGAAACCGTCCCGAAAGCGCACAAGTGGAAATTTCGCGTGTTTTAGCTCTAGAGAATTTCACATTTGGTTGTCTGTCAAAAAAAATCAGCGCGGCAAATTCAAAACCAGTTTCTTTGTAGCTATTTATTCAAATGTAACGACACTTTGGATTATTCTCGGAGCCGAGCGACTCCGCTTTTTGACTTTCACCGAGTCGCAACTCCCCAACTCCGAGACTTGGAACACCTCCAGTTTGGAGTCGTTAATGAGAGGGAGTTTGATTTTGCGTTCGGAGAGTCTCCCGACTTCTTTCTCGTTTAAAATTGTCACAGTTGGAATGTCGGGGCGTTTTTCTCTTTCGTAAAGTTTCACAATCGTGCCCTCACTTTTATGTCTTGTTTTCGCGTTCCAGTTATCGATTTGCATCTGCAGATACAGATTTTCGTAGACTAATGAACTGTTTTGATTCACGAGCTGCAATTTGACTGGAATTAGCTTAATTACGACTGGGTTAGTTTGACTGACTTGTAGGTACTTTTTATTGCTGGGGGACAAGGGGGCTTCGAATTTCGTGTCGAGGATTTGCTTCAGTTCGGACGTTAGGGTCTCGATTTTGGTTCTGAGATCGTTGACTACCTGTGGCAATAATTTAATCAAAAGCTATTAACTGGGGGGTGGGTACCCTGCGATGCTTGTCTTCCGTCTTTTCAAGCATGGTTTTGAACTGGTTCTTCGTTTCCTTCATCCTTAAAAATTTAACACTTAAATTGTAGTTTGTTTGGAGCGTTTGTTCGAGCGTTTTTTTCAATTTTTCGACCTCTTGGAGGTCGACTTGCCCCCCCAGAGTGGTGTTACTCAACGCTTTTTTGAGTTTTTTGAATTCGGTCATTTCGTGACAGTACGTTTCCTTCTCCTTGTAGTAAAAATCTCTCTCGTCTTCGAGTTGTCGCGCGAGATTGTCATTCGAGCGTTTCATTTTAGCAAGACTCATTGATAGTTTCTCTTTTTCTCTTGCTAATTTCCCCAATTTGCTTTCCTTATTTTCTAAGTCGATTTTGAGTGCATTTAGTGCAGTTTTCAAACTATCGATTTCCTCCTTTAGCGACTCGAGTGAGTCAAGACTCATTTGGCCTTCTTTCGAAACATCACCGGATTTCTGACGATTGAAAACGCGTCTGAAAAATATTTTCATTGCTCAACGAGCGCTAATTTCCCACTGCGATACCCAAGTTTTGACGAACCGGAAAATTTTCTAGTTAGGGCTTTTCTCATGAAATTTTTCTTTAAACCGCACCAATACACTCATAGCAGATCAAATGGACCACTTCAGTGACATTGACAAGGTGTCAAAAGCGAGGAAATTGCCAAGCAATCGACGGTTTTCTGGCGGATGCGCCGGGATTTTTTTTTCAGTTTTTTTTCAGTCAAAAGTTCTGGTTGTAACGCAAAAATTGCAGTTGCAATAATTAAAAATTAGTTTTATTCAAAAAACATAACAAAAAATATCTTTTCAAAAAAAAATTTAATAGAATTTTATAAAAAGTTAAAAAAT